AAAAAAAAGAGTCGGGCCTGGAAGGAAGGGTAGGACTTTTGCAGGCTAAGCTAGTAGTTAAACTCCATCTTCTGCTAACCACTTTGAGCTTCTACCGTCGTTGACTAAGCAGCTTCTATTTGCCAGGTGTGTCCATGGAAACTGTCTGCCTTCAGGCTCAAGCAGCTCAGTGAGGGTAGTAGGGTATCCTTGCTTCTTTGCTCTAGGGAAGGTGGAGGCCGGTGAGGTGAAGTGATACTCTTGAGTCAGTCAGCTGGTAAGTGGGCATGCTGCAGGTCTGCGGATTCCCAAAGCACCGGACAGGAAACTCGGGGAAGCCAGGTGATCTGCAGGATCACACCGCAGAAAGCCACTTCCTTCTCCAGCCTCAGTGCTCCTCATCACATCGAGGCGCAAGTGGCAGCTTGGCACTGGCTGCTTGTGACTTTCACACCTGGCTGACACTTGGTAAAAAGAAAACAAAAACAAAAGAGTGAGCTGCCCTGGAGCCCAGAGCTTTAAGCTACTGACTCAACCACTATTCACTGAGTGAGGCAGTGGAGACAGCAGTGAATGGGACAGATGATGTCCTGCCCTCGTGGATCCAGACATGCATATGTGCACCCACATCCTTTAGACAGCCATACGTACTATGGAAGAAGGAAAGCAGGAAACTGGGGAGAGAGGGTGTGACAATGGAGGGGCTGGTGGTCATGGAAGCACCAGAGCAGAGACCTGAGTGACAGGGAGGAGTGAACCAGGCTAAGAAGTCAGGGCCAGTTGCACAGGCCCAGATGGCCATGGGTCCAGCAAGAATTTAATAACACTGGTTTCATTATATTTGTTTGTATAAAAGTATCTTCCGTATTGAAAATGAGGCACTTTTACCATTTATTATTGTGATCTAAAATTTCCTTTATAAACATATCTGTTTAATTAAAATAAATAGGAACCTAAGCAAAAATATTAAGTAAATAATTATATAGGTGGTAAAGAAATATGCCAGAAATCACAAATCTCTCTCTGTGTGTGTCTCTTTCTCTCTCTCAATCTCTCTCTCTCTCTCTCTCACACACACACACACAACCAAGGTTTGCAAACTCTGCTACCCTTCTGTCTCCTTGATCTTTCATCCCCCTAACTCCCCAACCCCTGCCTACCCTGCACCCCCGCAAGCTCTGTCATTTCATCACAGAGAGGGTTTTCACTGGTTCTTACAATAACAATACTAACAATAAGAATATCACTTTACATTTGCATATTCCTTTATAATTTCAAAATGCTACTCTATGTACCATCTCATTTGCCCCAGAAATAAAAGCTAGTGTTCTTTAAAAAAGAGAGAGAAATCCTCCCTCCATATGATTCTGCCTTTGATACACTAACCAACCTGCCTCTCTACCCATCCCCAGTCCCCGGCCATCCCTCAAACTCGTCTTCAGCAGAGATTTTGAAAGGGGTGTAATTGAGGAGGGAGGAGGCTCTGGGGAAGGACAGTTCTACATCCTTCCCCTCCAGGGTCCACCCCTGCAGGAACCCTCTGTGTGGAACAGAATGTTTTCTTTGCAAGATTTCTGTCACCTTGCAACTTACAGTTTTACAGACGGTAAAACTACAACCCCTGCTCTGACCCTGATTTAGGTGTCTCTTAGAATTCAAGAAGAGTTGAAAAGAAACTTGCATTCAGAATATATAAAGAACTCTTACAATTCAACAATAAAAGGCCAAATAAGCCAACTTAAAAATGGGCAAAAGATTTGAATAGACATGTAAGAAGACATGAATAGACATGAATGGTTGATGAGCATATAAAAAGAAGCTCAACATCAGTAGCCATCAGGGAGACGCAGATCAAAAGCACAGTGAGATACCTCTTCATACCCACCAGCGTGGTCAATATCAAAAGAACAAGTAATAAGCACCAGGTATGGTGGCTCACGTCTGTAATCCTAGTACTTTGGGAGGCTGAGGTGGGCGGATCACTTGAACCCAGGAGTTCAAGACCAGCCTGGGCAACATAGTGAAACCCCGTCTCTACAAAAAATGCAAAGATTACCCTGGCATGGTGGCATGCATCTGTAGCTGCAGCTGCTCAGGAGGCTGAGGTGGTAGGATTGCTTGAGCCCGGGAGGGAAAGGTTGCAGTGAGCTGAGATTGTGCCACTGCACTCCAGCCTGGGCAACAGAGCAAGACCTTGTCTCAAAACAACAACAATGGAAAAAAAAAAACCCAACTAATAAGTGTTGATGAAGATATAGAGGAATTGAAACCCTCATACATTGCTGCCGAGAATATTAAATGGTGTGACCGCATTGGGAAAGAATTTGGTAGCTCCTTGCAGTTTTAAGCAGTTGCTGTAGGACCCAGCAACTCCACGCCCAGGTATATCCGCAAGAGACATGGAAACAAGGTCCACACAAAAACTTCACATGAGTGTTCATAGCAGCATTATTTATAATAGCCCCAGAGTGGAAAGAGCCCAAATGTCCATCGACTGATTAAATGAAATGCAGTATATCCATACAGCAGGGTATTATTCAGCAATAAAAAGTAATGATACACGCTACAATACGAATGAGTATTAAAAACATTATGTGAAGGGAAAGAAGTCAGTCACAAAGAACTATGTATGGTGGGATTCTATTTATAGGAAATGTCCAAAATAGACAAATCCATAGAGACAGAAAGTAGATTGGTAGTTGCTGGGAGCTGGGGGGTGGGGAGACTCGGGGGTGACTGCTTATGGGCACAGAGTTTCTTTTTGGGGAGGTCAAAATACTCTGATCTTAGATGATGGTGATGGTTGTACAGCTGTGAATATACTAAAATCCATTGTGTCATATGCTTTAAAAAAGTGAATTTTATGATATGCCAATTATATTTTAATAAAGCTATTTTTAAAATGTCAAGCGGTTAAGTCCTAACTCAGTGCCTCACCATTGAGTATAATTAAAGGAATGTGTACATGGGAGAATATATTTGAAACTGTTTCAGATCTATTTCCTCAGCCTGAGTCTTGCAGCCCAGGGGGCTCCTCCACTGCAGTAGTTCTGTGCTGGGCACAAAGGTAAATCCTGCTGAGGCAAGTCGCTCCCTGGCTCCCAACATCAGTTAGACTTTTGTTTGCTTTTCCAGCAAACGAGCAGGCTGGAAAGCTATGCTCTGTCTGGAGGCAAGATTTTCCAAATTCCTTTTGTGTGGCAAGAAGCAGGCCTCGGGGAGCAGATCCTGATTTCTGTGGGGACCTTCCGAGTAGACAGGAAGATAGAGGATGGCAGGGCTGTCCTGCTGGTCTTGGGGACAGAGGAGCTGAGGAAGGCAGTGAGGAAGTGAGATTGCCCTGCACTAGCTATCCAGGGATGGCGTGGGTGGGGCGGGGCTGCTTAGGAACATCCCTGGGCTCCCTGGGCAGGGGCCTTGGGAGACTGCACATCTCTAGAAACCTGCCTCATTCTCTTAGCCATTTCCAGCCGGGTGCAGGGTACAGGGTGCAGGGCAGGAGTGCCCAAGGCAGAGCGCCTGGCTTCCTTGGCCTGATGGTACCGTACAGGGACCCAGAAGCTCCCACATGCCCCAGTGTCCTGGCAAAGTCCTGGCCAGGATGAAGAGCCCACCAGGTACATCTCCCAGGGTCAAACGGGATGTCGCGGACTCCCACAGCAGTGTGGAGAAGGTGGCAGACAATATCTTGAAATTGAAATCTTCATGTTCTTTCCCCCATCTTCTCATGAGAGACTTCTTTTTTTCTTTAGTCTCCCATTCACGTTGCCTGGGGGGAAAGCAGAATTGTTCAGTGTGAGGGAAAAAGCTAGAAGCAGCCTACGCTCCTTTTTTACTAACAAATCAGACATTTAAGAATCAGGGGGGAAGCTGAGGGAAGCCTAGAGTCTAAAGTTAATAAAAGGACAGATGAGGAAGACAGGGAGGAAGCACCATGTCACCAGGGAGCCTGAGCAAGGGTCTCCCGAAGGTACCAGGAGCATCACCATTGCCAGCCCTGGGAGCACTACTCACTGCCCAGGGGAGGAGGGGGAGGAGCCACATGGACCAGCATTGCCTCATTGTGGGGCAGGGCACCCATCACAGCATCTAGTCCTCAGGGAGTGCCCAGTAGAGTGACAGCTGCTTGTGTCCCAAGGCTTTGCTGAGCCCCATCTGAATTGCCCTGGTGGAGAGGTATCCTCCATTTCCAATGACATGAGACACCAAAAAGCTCCCCAGAAAAGCGGGTGAGGGGCCTTGACATTTAGAGAGCGGAGAGTTGATGGGGGTGTGGGAGGAAATCCCAGTGCTGGTTCTTGGGCAGGGCTGGACAGCAATCATCCTGCCCTTTGGCAATTTGCATTAGATGCCCTGGTGCTCCAGGTGACACCTGATTTCAGGTGATGCTACACAGACAGGTTCCTGTGAACCTAGTTCTTCTCTCACTGATCCAGTGTTGCCTCAAGGCCTCGTAAAGCCTCATTTTCTGCCTCAGAACCTTCTCTATCAAGTAGACCCCTCAGGCTATGATTACACACAGCCCAGAAGTTCAGAGCAACACTGACCTTCAACCAGCGGGGCTGGGAGCTGGTGGAGAAGCTCCCTCACCTGTATTTCTGGGTGACAGCTCTGGAGGGGTTCTGTGGCTTCTCAGTAGGCTCTGGTGGAGTCAAAGCCCTTAGACACCTGGAGGTGACCTAGACACACCTGGATGCCCACCTGGGCTTCTCCTCTTTCCCACCTCTCTCCCCCCAGCCCCTCACTCCTGCTCTGGGGTTAGCTCTCAAAAGCCCTGGTTTCAGGCTGGGCGCAGTGACTCATGCCTGTAATCCCAGCACTTTGGGAGGCCCAGGCAGGCAGATCACCTGAGGTCAGGAGTTCTAGACCAGCCTGACCAACATGGTGAAACCTCGTCTCTTCTAAAAATACAAAAATTAGTCAGTCGTGGTGGCACGTGCCTGTAATCCCAGCTACTTGGGAGGCTGAGGCAGGAGAATCACTTAAACCTGGGAGGCGGAGGTTGCAGTGAGCTGAGATAGCGCCATTGCACTCCAACGTGGGTGACAAGAGTGAAACTCCATCTCAAAAAAAATTGTTTTAAAGCCCTGGTTTCAGGTTCTGCTTTGGTGTGACACAAAATCACACAAAGGCTAAGTCACCTCTGGTACTGTTAGGAGCCTCTGGTGACACTGCCCTACTACTTATGCTGAAGTGGCGAGCAGCTATTTGAGAGCGGGACTCCAAAAACTTGCTTCCTGATTTGGGTAGTTCTGAATTTCTAAAATGTCATAGACGAACCTTAGAGGTCACCTAGTTGGACCCCTTCGTTTAACAGATGAGGAGACTGAGGCTGGAGAGCCTTACCAACCAGCACATGGAGCTGATGGCAGAGCTGGCTCAGGAGTCTGCGCCCTGGCTCCTTCCTCCCCAGGGGCCTCTGAGAGCTGCTCCTTGGAGATTGCAGAGCCAGTTTAAATCGATCCCATCTGTGGAAATGCCTTGTAAACTGTGAAGCATCGTAAAAATGCTATTTGTCATGATGTGTGCCAGACCTGGGACTGGAACCCAGATCTGCCGGCTCCCTGGACAGCAGAGGACTGCATTAGATACAATTGCTTATTTTCATAGTTTCACCCTCAGACACTTGCTAACTAAAAGCCCCCTCCCAGCTGGCCTGATTGCCAAGCGCTCCCTGCACGGCCTTCTGCTGGGTGCCCGGGGCTTGGGGTATGGCCATCTGCTGTCCTTGTCCATCTTTTATTCATTTATTCAGAAAAGTATTTACAAGTCTCTTAAGGTATCCTGGGTAACTTGCTAGTGCTGGGGATACAGTGGTGACCAAGACAGGCACAGTTCCTGGCCTCAGGGAGGTTAGAGTCTAGTAGGGGAGAAAAGGAGGCAATGACCTCTCAACGAGGAAGACTGTGCTGGGCGCTATAAGCAGAGTGGAGGATGCAGTGATGGCGAATTATCAGGGGCACCTAACCAATTATGGACGTCCGAGAAGCTCCCCTGAGGAGGGGCCATTTAGCTGGGACTTGAAGAATGAGCAGCAGAGAGGCAGTCATCGGGGGAGGGTGTTTCCTGGCAGGAGAAGGACATGTGTGAAGGCCTGGGCAAAGGAGCTCCTGGTGCTGGCAGGACAGAGAAGGCCCCATGGATGCGGTGTGTTCAAGGTCAACAGCCAGGAGAGACAGGGAGGGGGGTTGGGCAGCCCAGGCAGGACCAGTGGCTCCTTGAAAGTTTATCTTCAAAGCTTTCTGTTAAAAGCAGCGGGAAGTTGTTGGAGGATGTTCTGCGGAGAAATGACATCATCCAATTTTTGTGTTCAAGGGATCATTCTGCCCACAGGGTGGCTGGTGAGTGTGTTGGAAGGAGGCCAGCATGGCTCCAGGGAACTGTGAGGGCACTGCTGAGTAACCTATAGGAGGGCACAGTCTTGGGAACAAGGTTGTGGCTTCAAGAAGGGGAGGATGACTTCATATGACGTTTAAGGCGGAATTGGCAACACGGGGAGATTGGACGTGGGAGGGGAGGGAGCAAGAATTGTCACAATGACCCTGGGGTTTCTGACATAAGCAGCAGGATGAAGGGAGGAGATGCAGATTTGGGTAGAAGAACAAGAGTTTGGACGTGTTGAGTTTGAGATATCTGTGTGGCAGCTGCATGGAGATGACAAGGGGGCACTTAGATATGTGGGGCTAGGGGCTCAGAACAGAGCTCTGGGGCTGCAGACAGGCATTTGGGAATGTCCAGGAATGTTTAAAGCCGTGACTAAGATCAGCCAGAGATCTCAGCAGTGGCAGAGACATGGTTCCTGCCTTCACTGAGCTTACATTCTAATGGATGGACAGAAGACTTCACTTTCTGGCATGTCAGAGTAGCTCCTTAGAGGCCAGTCCTCCCACCAGGAATGAGCTGGATAAAGTCCAAAAGCTGTCTGTTGAGGGCAGCCAGGCTGGAGAGGGCAGGGTCCCTGGGGGAAGGGAAGCCTGTGGGTAGCGTCAGCGCCACTCCTCCCCTTGAGGCATCTGCTGATTCATGAGCGGCTTGGGGGCCAAGAGGCTAAAGCCAAGCAGAAAGTGTGGATAAGAAGCTGAGAACTTGAGTAGGAGAATTTGGCAATTTCGAACAGCTGGGAGATAAATTTGGAGTTCAAACTACAAGGCAAGCAGGACCTGGGGGCCAAGATGTCTAGAGAAGAAAAGCACGTGGAGGTTAGCTTCTAAGGCCCCTTTCTCTGGCAGGCATTCATGGATCCGTAAGCAGTACCCAGCCAAGGAGTGAAGCGTGGCTAAGAGACCGGGAAGCTGAGCGGAGTTTTTGGCAGTCTCGTGGGGCTTGGAAGACAAACTTGGAATTGAAGGCCCACCAAAGAGGAAGAGCCCTAAAGAACAAGCCAGACTTCCAGCAAGAACCTCAGATGGGTTACACACCAGGAGGCAGGGTGAGCTGGAAATAGAGCGGCCTTCAAAAAGCCTGACAGCTTCAAACCAGCTCAACCGCAGCCTGGATTACGAATGACCTTCCCTTCTCTAACTGTCTTCCGGAAAATGAAGTAAATCCTCCATGATGAAGGACAGCATCAGCCGGAGCCAAAAAGTATCTCCGTCATAGAAACAGCCCCGCAGGTGACCCAGATACTGGAGCTCCCTGACGTAGACTTCAAAATAAGTGTGATTAACATAGTTAAGAAAACAGATGACAAAATGGAGAATTTCACCAGAGAATTAGAATCTATGCAAAAGTATCAAAAGGAAATTACGGTGAAATGGGTAGAATTTGGAAATTGATATTCTTAAAGAAGGGCTAACATTTTTCCATATAGCTGGGAGGAAAGACATGCTGGGGGAAGTAGGTATACCAGGAAGCCCCACGGTGGCAGCCTGAAACAGGATGGATTGTGTGTGGAGGGGGGTGGCGGGGGGAGAGGGGGGGGGGGGGGGGGGGCAGGGGCAGCAGTGTTCCGTGGGAGAAAATTCAAGAAAGGACAGTCGGAACCACATTATGCTGGAACTTGAATGTTGGATGATGAAATTAGAATTCTATTCTGCCGACTGAGAGAACAGTAATGTTTGTCTGCATCTCTGCTTTTAGTTTGTCTCCGGGTCAATTTAGAAAAAGTAAAAAGTGATACAGTTTACGTTTTTTAAAAAAATTACTCTTTTTTTTTCAAACTTTAGGAGATACAATAGTTGTATCCGTACTTAAAGCATTTGATCTGCTTCCCTGTCCCTCAAAAATTTCATTTTTTTGGCTTTTTTTTTTCCCCAAAACTATGTGATGAGCCTATATTACAGTTCTGGACAGTAAGATTCAACTTTTAAACAAATTTTGTTATTGAGCAAGACCTTTTCAGCTGGTTTATTTTGTCCTTCCTTTACTGACCTTGTAAACTACTTAATTGCGAAATGTGGTTTGTCTCAGAGTGCCTCTTAACATTGTATTCTTTAAAACAGGAGATTTTTCCATTGCATGGGAGACCAACAGCAACATCTTCCACACACCAAGCAGGGCTCCTCTTTCCACTTACTTAGAGACATATGGTTTTCATCAGTCACTTCTCTCTTCTTGGCAGCCACCACGGCAAGGATTTAAATTTTATTTAGCAAATGGCCCACCCCTCTCACACCAAGCCCCTGTTTGCTCTTCTCCCTCTTCCTCTGTCTCACAGGATCCCTCTTCTATCCCCATTCCCAGAGAGCACCAATCCGCCTGTCAGGCAAACCAAATCAACTGAGTTGCCTCCGTCAGCCACCCCTGGCCAGCAGAGCCGGAAGCAGGAAATCAGCGCAAAGGCCTCTGGGAGTTGGAGCAGACCCAGCTGAGTCTGAAGCACCTCTGGAGGAGAGGGTTCCTGAATCTCAACTGGTTGACCCGTGGGAGCTGGTCTTCGCTGCTGCAGGGACGGGGCTGCAGGCGAGGCTGGTTTCGTTTGATGACATTTGGGGTGTTCTTCTCCAGTGCTGATGCAGAGCGGTGGCCAAGCTCCAACCCCTTGCACAGGCGCCCCAACCTCGTTCCCATCAGTTCCTACCTTTCCTGGAGTCACTGGAAGACACAAGCCTCCCACCTTAGTCACCTTCTAGGTTAGCAGTGAAGTTTGGGAACCCTAGCCCATCTGACCACCCTTCCTCCTGAAGCCAGCTGAGTCGCATTCCATGTAGATAGCCAGAGTCCTGGTGAAAACGCTGGAAACTAGGTGGTAAGAGACCCCAGTTGTTCAGCATACTCACCCACCATATTGATTACAAAAATGATCATTTCTACCTCCATCCCCACCATTTACCCTTGTCTGGCACCCTGCTCTCCCACTCAGACCAATGCGCCTGCCCCTGCAAGTCCCTGATTCTCCCCTGGCCTCCCTTTAGTCCATTCTGCATGAAGGCAGCACAATCTTTAAAAACAGATCGGATCATGTCAGGGTCCCACAAAAACCTCCTCGATGGCTTTCCACTGCACTTACCGCAAAATACCGATGCCTTGCTATGGCCTAGGTGCCCCTGCCTGTCTCTCCAGCCTCATCCTGAGTGGCTGTCTGCCTCACCCACTGTGCCCCAGCCACAATGACCTCCCTCCATTCCTCAGGGCGCCACCATCCAGGACACCCCAGGCCAGGAGCTAGTGCAGCCTTCATCCCTCCAGCTGAGGCAGCACAGCCTCCACCCTCGCAGGCCGCCCGGCTCCAGGCACCATAGTGAACTCCTACCAGAGGTAAGATCAGCCCCTGCCCAGGACTCCGTTGTAGATCTCTGGGCCTTATTGAATCCAGCCCCTCCTTTTTCCAATGACAGACAGAGGCCCAAGTAGGGGAAGGAGGTTGTCCAGCACTTGGAGTGAGCTGAGAGCAGAACTGGCCTGTGTCTCGCCTCTCAGAGCAGGGCTCCTTTTTCTTCCCCAGGCTGCCTGCTCAGAAACCATGGGGCAGCCCAAGGAGCAGGCTGTAGTTTGTGCAACCCTTGAGAGACCGAGTTCCAGTCTGACTGCTTCCACCCTGCGCCCAGGACACAGTACAGCTCTGGAGGAGGCAGGTGAACGTGTCTGGAGTGCTTCTTATGAGCCAGGTGCTCTGCTAGGTACTGGGGACTTGCCAGGGCTAGGGACCCTGGGTCTGAATCACACACTGGGAGACCCTCAGCCACACAGAAGCAGGGTGGCATGGGAGACTGACCCCAGACAAGCAGCAGGGCCCTAAGATCTCGCTGGAGGAGGGAAAATAGGGCCTTCTTATGGCTCAAGGTACCCCGTGGCTGATACTCCAGCTTGGGAGGCAGTGAGAACGGGGACATAAGGACCTGGGCTATTTTGAGAAGTCTCATGTACTGAGGAGGTAGGGTGTGGCTAGGGAGGTGCTGACAAGTGCAGGATGGGGCCAGGTGGGGTAAGATTTATCCAACAAGGCAGGTGGGGCCGATGGAAGCATCTCTGGGCTATAGTTAAACTTGAGCAACAGAAAAGAAAAAGCTGCTATTTAAACAACCAGCAAAATTATTCTAGCTTCTTCTGCCTTCTAAGGGGGTGGTATAATTCATATCAAAAGGATGATGCATTTTTACATGCCTGTAGAGGCTGCTAGGGAAAGGAGTTATGACGGATAATTTGGTAGTGTTAAAGGAAAAAGTAATTTCAAAGCTGGTCCTTAGTGGGTTTCTGAGCAGACAGAGATGGGCCCAGATGCAGTCTGGGGTGGGGGATGGGGGCTGACTACTCCACAGGAGAGAGGAAAAGGATGTTATGGGAGTCTGGCTGTGTGTGTGTGAGACAGAGAGAGACAGAGAGAGAGAGAGAGGGAATGAGTCTGGTGGAGGCTGGGCCTCAAGGAGGCAAAATGGCTCATGGGAGCGGGGAGGTGGGTAGAGGACATGGCCAGAGGAGTATCAACCTCAAGGTGTTTTCTGTGCTAAAATGCAAAGTAGCTCTCCCAATTACACACAGGAAAAACATGTTTCATATGCCTTATGCTAGAGCTACTTGGAAGAAATCAAGGAAAATAATCTATGTTTTACATTTGTCTTGATACAAGGCAGAAATGATAGCAGCTGAGGGAGGGAGGGAGGGAGGAAGGAATGAAGCAAGGAAGGAAGGAAGGAAGGAGGAGGGAAGGAGTGGGGAGGGAAGGAGTGGGGAGGAAAGGAGTGGGGAGGGAGGGAGGGAAGGGAGGGAGAGAGGACTGGATTTTAGTAGAAACAGGATATCAGAGTAAAAGGGGTTTGGGAACAAGTCCCCAGAATTTTTGCAGGAAACCTTGGGTTTTCCTCTATTGTGGGTTGAGGGCTTGATCTATTTTCTCTTGGATAAAAAGCAAGGTGGCCCCATAAGGTCACAGGACTTATAAACACCCAAATGACAGACACCTGGGTTTTAGTTTTGTGTGTAACTTACTAAGTGATCAGCAAGAAGAAGAGCAGAACTTGGGGAGGTTCAGGGCAGTTGCTAAGGGGCAAGAGGAGATTTATCATCTAGGAGTCTAAATCCAGGTCTGCTCTGTCAAAGGCAGGTCCTCAGGTCACCTTCACGAAGGGGATTATAGAAACCCTTGCAGGATTGGGCAGGAAACAGGCACACTCTTCCCTGCTTCACACACACGTGTGCCTCTGCCCCCCACACCCCCTCCACCCTGGTCCCCCACAAACCACTTCAGCTTAGATAAGGATAGGTCTGACTCTGTGTCTCCCCTGCCCCCTTCCTTTTGCTGTTTCTTAAAGCAAGAAAAGTGGCTTTGAAGCCACTTTTAAATTATGGATCAGCTCATTAGCAGCCAGTTAAGATGACTGAGTGGTTTCCTCAATATTTCAGGGCAGCCCTGGGATCCTTTTGGCTGTAAATGAGGACACATTCCTTTCCCTACCACTTAGAAACAGGTCGCTCAAGGTGCTGACCTCAGAAATCCCCATGTTCAAGACAAGTTGCTTTGTTGTTTTTCTTCTTCTTTTTAAAAACAGAGAGGGAGCCTCACTATATTGCCCAGGCTGGTCTTAAACTCCTGACCTCAAGTAATCCTCCTGCCTCAACCTCCAAAAGTGCTGAAATTATAGGTGTGAGCCACCATGCCTGGCTTGCTTTGTTCTTTTTAGAAGTGTAGCTGCTTCTTGGGAGGGGAATGAGGGATAAAAGAGTACAAATTGGGTACAATGTATACTGCTGAGGTGATGAGTGCACTAAAATCTCAGAAATCACCACTAAAGAATTTATCCTTGTAACCACAAACCAATCGTACCCCAAGAACTATTGAAATTAAAATTAAAATTAAAAAAAAAAGTAGCTCCTTCAAGTCATGCATGGCCCTGACCAGGGTGCCCTCACAAGGCCTCACCAACATCCAACCCACAGGTATCAACTTATCTCGATTTCTTCAGAGAAGAGTCCATCATATACCGTACTGCAATACAACCCTTAGAAAGCAGGGTTCCTCAGGGAACTGGTGTGGGCGTCTCCATCCAGAGGAGGATGACCAGGGAGGAGGGGGATTTAGAAACCATCTCAGAAGTAAAATGAATTTGGGATTTTTTTTTTTTTTTTTTTAGACGGAGTCTTGCTCTGTTGCCAGGCTGGAATGCAGTGGCACGATCTTGGCTCACTGCAACTTCTGCCTCCTGGGTTCAAGCGTTCTCCTGCCTCAGCCTCCTGAATAGCTGGGATTACAGGCGCACACCACTATGCCCGGCTAATTTTTGTATTTTTAGTAGAGATGGGGTTTCACCATGTTGACCAGGATGGTCTTGATCTCTTGACCTCGTGATCCGCCCGCCTCGGCCTCCCAAAGTGCTGGAATTACAGGTGTGAGCCACTGCGCCTGGCCGAATTTGGGACATTGAGTCAAGGGAAGAGCCAGTTGGGAAGAACATGCAATTATTAGTGAGGACTCTCACTCCTAAGTGAGAAAAATCCAACCAAGTAAGTTAAGCAAGAAAAAAATGTATTGGCTTATGTAAAAGGGCAAGTCAAGTAAGCTTCAGGAATGGCTGGATCCAGTAGCTCAACAATGTCCTCAGGGTTCTCTAAGTTTCTCTCTCCTTCACCTGACTGTTTCTACTTGGCATTATCTATGGCTGGATCTTGTGCCTCAGACTAAATCCCTGGGGCTCTGTCTCACGCCATCTATCAAATATTTTCTCTCCAAGTGGCAGGAAGCCTTCTTGGTCACCAGTAGCACTGGATTCTTATCCTATCAGCTTAGACACCCTACCAGAATGAATCGGTTTCCCCTAGAAACTCTGTTGGGAAAGTGCTAGGCCCAGACTTGAATCACAGCCCTGTACCTGAAACAGTACCCACTGCCTGATCCGGTATTCCTGTTGGCCTGGCCAGGTCATGAGCACACTCCCTGGTTTTGAGAAGACTGCAGTCAGCTCTGCCCAAATCACATGAAAAAGGTTCCCCACAAGAAAGAGGGGTTCTGTTAGTGCTGCAGGGGTGGAAGAGGTGCTGGGCAGATAAAAACAGCAGATGTCCACTGCAGCTGTCTATACATTCATGAGAAATCCTGGGGCATTTCTCTGTCATGCAAGTTTGATCACATCACCATCTAGCTTAATATCCTTCAGGGCCCTACAAGGTAAGGTCAGCTTCCTTCAAATGGCATGCAAAGCTCTCCAGGCTCTGGCCCTGGCGCCCTGCTCAGCTTCACCTCCAACCACTCTCTGCCCACCCACCCCCCTGGTCCCTGGCACATCCCACCCAGAGCCAGTCAGGCCTTACTCCGTCCTCCCATGTGCCAGGCTTTCTCCTAATTCTACAGCACACCCAAAGGCAAATTAACAAAATTTCCTGAAATCTTAGGGGGAAAAGGGAAGTACACACCAGAGTGCAACCTATAACTGTTCTTAGAAGTGGTTCTGCTGAGAGCACCTAGTCCAGAGCTAACTTCAAAGCCATGGCCAGGTGCAGTGGCTCACGCCTATAATCCCAGCATTTTGGGAGGCCAAGGTGGGCAGATGACTTGAAGTCAGGAGTTCAAGACCAGCCTGAGCAACATGGCAAAATCCCGTCTCTACTAAAAATACAAGAATTAGCTAGGCGTGGTGGCACACGCCTGTCATCCCAGCTACTTGGGAGGCTGAGGCAAGAAAATCGTTTGAACCTGGGAGGTGGAGGTTACAGTGAGCTGAGATCGTGCCATTGCACTCCAGCCTAGGTGACAGAGTGAGGCTCCATCTCAGAAAAAAAACACAAACCCACAAAGTCCTTCACAGCCCCCCTCCCCACCTCACCCATCAGCTGCCTGGAGCTGGAAGGACAAATTTCCTCCCATCACCAGGCCTATCCCAACTATCCCCTTCCTTGGAGTCCAGGTCTAAGCAACTCTCTCCACCTCCCCAGCCCCAGGAAGTGTTTTTTTCCTCTCACTCATATCTAAGATCTGCCTCCCAAGCCCTCTTTCCTGCCCCAGAATTAGCCTCTTTCTTGCATTACTGATAATAGGAATATCAAAAAAATAATAATAAAATACTGGCTAGGCTATTTCCCCAAAGCTGAGATGGGCAGGTTAAAATAGCAACTCAGTGGGACACCGACTCCCAGGTCCAGGATGGACCATGCAGAGCCCCGTCGGGCTCATTTGCACTTTTTCTCTAGCCTGAGCTGAAGAAGTGAGCCCTTCTCTCCCACATTCTTCTCCACCGCAACTAACTCCTTATCTTGTGCAAACAACTGATCCAAGACTAACACACAACGTTGGGAGGACACATCAATTTCAGGCATAAGATAGTCTCATTCCAAATTAGGAGATGGTGGTGCTCTAAATAAAACAATCTTCAGAGACATAATTCAACAAATTCATTAAATGTATATTACTAAAGGGTATTAACATCTCAGACTCAGTAATCGCCTTTAGAGGCCCATCAGTGCTTTCCCATACTCCCCAAGAATGATAGGTAGACCCTGGCTGTTTTATATTAGCATGGCTCAAAGGGTCAACTCTAGTAGTGCATTCCAAAACAAAGAACATCTTCCACAAAGCAAACTGTAGTCTCCACCTGAAAAGGCAGACACAGTTTATATTCCTAAAATGTCATTTTTTCCTCAGTTAAAAAAAAGAAAAACCTCAGTTTACTGTAAAGTAACTTTTTAATTCCAGAACAAAGGACAACAAGGAGAGAGAGAAGGTGAAGGTTGACTTCAAGATTTTGTTGTAGGAAACCTATTAAGACATCTAATCAAAACTAAAATTTAATCCGACATGGGAGTTTCCTAAACCTGTTCCAAACAGTGAAATGTTATATAATTGTAATGTTTTATAACATTTTATATAAAACTTCAGTTTAAAACATAACTAAGCTCTAAAGCAAGAAAAAGAAGATTTCCAGGTAACAGAAATGAAGCAGAAACCTGTAACCACAGAGGGTCAGGAAGGGCAAACTACCGAAAGAGTAGGAGAATAGTGAGATAACCCCATAAAAAGTCCTTAATAAGTCAAAGCACTTACAGGATTCCTGTGAAAAAACAACACCTATTGAAGTTGAGTTCACACACAAAAATTATAAAACAGATGGGAAAGTTCAATGCCAAGATAGACATTCTACTGACTCAGCAAATAGGATAACTAACATCAATGGAACTAGAGACTAAAAAGTGATCTGAAAAGGGCCTTAAGTTTGATTAAGAGACGAAAGAGATAAAGGAGGTTCTCATATCACAAGAATAGAAAATTATAAAATAAGAACAAGAAAATTTGCAATCTCTAGCTATAATTGTGCAGTTGTCTCTTTTTCCTTGCATTTCTGTCTCATTTTGCTTCATGTATTTTGAGTCAGCTTTCTTATTAGGTGCATGTACATTTAGGATTACTATATCTTGTTGATAAATGAATCCTTTTGTTACTATGAAATAAACTTCTTTATCCTTGGAAATATTTTTTAGCCTGAAATCTGCTTTGTATGATAGTAATATAGCCACTCCAGCTTTCTTTTGATTAATATTTGCAGGACATACCTTTATGTAATTTTTCTCTTTTGACCTATTTATGACTATATTTAAAGTGGATTTCTTATAGGCAGTTTATAGTTGGATCATGATTTTTAAAAAATACAACCTGACAATCTATGCCTTTTAATTGGGGTGTTTAGATCATTTACA